TGCATACTACACTGTCCATAAGTGTAGGTGCTAACTTGATATTTGTTATGGGGGCAGTGCTAAGTAGATAAAATTACTAACATGGAGAAAATATATAGCAAAGAACTKATCATGGGATAAATGCTCAATGAATACTAGATCCCCTTTCCACCACCACCGCCCCACACACTGTTGCCCTGTGTTTTTCTCTTATATCCTGTTTTTCTCAGTTTACCTTTACCCTGGGCTCTGAGAGTTTGATTGTGTCCTGTTTTTCTCTTATMTTCTTGTGCATGTTCTGGTTTTGAGTCTTAGACAACCTCAGGCTTGGTGATCCAGTWATGGTCACTGGGGTTTGGGTTTGTGTCTCCACAACCAGTCCAGAAAGGACAGGACCTGAGARGAAGCTATCACTCAGTCGTTGTATAAGAACTGGTTGGCGGCAGTGGTAGGAGCAGTCAGTTGACTGTTTGGACCTAAGAACTCAGGATGGCTCTTGTACTATAGGAAYTTCAATGAGAAAGCATRTGATCAAACCCAGGGAAACATTCCTAATGCCCCTTGCTTCCCTACACTTGGGTGTTCATTTACAAGGTAAGACAGAGACACTCATTAAAGATTTGGAAAATGTGAAAATACTAAGAAGGATAAAAGGCATCTATTTGCCCACCCACCCAAAGAATCCAGTTTTGATATRTTTTTTAACCATCTTTTGTAAGCCTGCATAAGTGTTCATTTATTTTTAAAGCATTTGCATTTAACTGAACTTATAAGTCTGGGGGTAAAAATGCCTCAGGGAGAGGAAATTCTTATGTGGAATTACAGGGTTATTCCCATAATGAATGATAATGATTCATTATAAAATTGTTTGCTTTCAAGTTCCATCCAGATGCCATTAGTGAGGCAAACAGCACCTCCTTCCTCTTGCAGAATCCTAGGTGTGACAAGTTCATCCAGGTATCTGTGATGTGTTGGGTGTTAGGCCCCCCACCAAGCCATCTGTCAATCCTTTAGGACCAGATTTTACTGGTCTTGTGTCCATGGTTTCAAGTGAATTTCTTCAACAAGAGTGAGTGGGTGGTGTATATTATGATCCCCTGCACCCATGAAATTGCCTTTGTCCTGCTTTTATTTGTACAACTCAGTGAGATCAAACCCTTCACTCTTAATCTCTTCCCCTGAATATGCTATAATTTTAATCAGTAATCTTCYGGCCTTTTTTTACTACAGAAAAGCCACCTGATATCAGCTGGATTTTCATTATTTTACAGATACCCTCATTTGTGGTCTTTTTCAGTCTGATTGCTCTTTTCTTCCCTCCATCCTTGCTATTTAAAAATCATCAGGATRTTCTGAGATGTCATTCATTCTTCACTGATTGGCTGGGAATGCAGTGAGCCCTTTGGGGCTTTTATTACTGCTTTTGTTAATAGCAATAGTAGCACTTAGTTGAGTTCTAACTGGACATAAAGGTGGACATTGAACTGGAAAGACCTTGGAAATACTGGCCTACGTGCAGTTTATGTCTGATTATGTGGRCAGTTTGAATTAGACTAGCTCATATATGGGATCCCTCTAACCACTCTGTGGAAGAATTAGGGATCTTGTTTTATCTTGTACTCAAAGAAAACTTATTAATCCATTCTAAAGTTGTTCTCCATTTCCYTGCTGGTGCCAAAACAATGCAGCTTTCTCTCTGACCAGGATCTGAGGCCACTGTGGAAGGGAGTGGATCCTGGGGCCTACCCAGCTGTGGGTATGTGTCCTAGAAAGGAATCCACCCTACAAAAGAGCCTTGCTAGGAACTAGGCTACAGGCTTGGCCTGTCCCAAACCACAGGCTCATTTCAGATCTAAGTGTGGTCCACCAGGTGATTCCAAGTAAAATAGACTCAGCTCCAGGAGTTTGCTCTGGTTGTCATTCAAAGAGAACCTTAAAGAAAAGGTTTGGTCAGCAGAGACCTCTCAGCTATGAATTGAGAATTAATTTTGAGTCCCCTTTATCCTTAAACAGGAGACCCACTTGAAAATCTACTRAAATAAACCCCTCACGTCCTCTCTCCTCTAAGGATACGGCATTATATGTCCTTCACTGCTGAAAAAGTACTTGGCTTCGTCAGCATTCATCTTCCGTTCAGTCTAAATTTATTTTTATGTGAAATAGAAATCAGGAAAACACCAAAATTATTTTAAGCAAAATATCAAAATTGAAATAAACCAACATATGTCTGTGAAACATGTATAACTCTCAATCAAAAATAAGTGCAACTTTCATAAATTTCTTAAAATACTCCAGCATGCAAAATCTGAACCACTTAAATAGATGGAATTATGACATGTTTGATTATTTTTTTCTACTTAGTTCATCCTTTAGTTAAAGGTGAAAATACCAATCAATCACAAAAACCTGGCCAGCTCTAGATCATACCCTCATGAAGAATGTCTTCCACCACCTATTTTAATAATTAAAGAACCAAGAATGTTTATAGAATCTGCAAGAAGACTAAGTAATCCCTGCTAATTTTGAATGAAAAGCATCCTGACCTAATCTTCATCACCTATACTCTTTCTTATCTCATGCTTCCCYCTACATTCACCTCTAAAGAGTGAGGTTTCTTGATTGCTTTAAACATATTATACTTTGTTCTGGGAGGTTTTTTTCTATGTTTTGAACTTTCCCTTCCACTGGGAACTCAAATGGGATTAAAACTGTCAAAGTAACATAAATATTCCAGGGCTTAGCACCAAAGGGAGAATTAAAAGATAAATCCCCATCTCACCTTTAGGCTTCATTTATAGGCTTTCCCTAACACGTTTTCTTTATTAGATTGTCACTTTAAGGATTAGAATCACTTTGGCCCTGTAATAATAAATAGGAGCTGATATTTTTCCCACAGAAGACATTAAGTAAATGTTACTGTCAATAAATATTATTGAAAAACCTGTGACGCATTTGTTGAAATTCTCCAACCTTTCATTTTAATTCTCCTCTTTATGAATTGGATAACAAAATTTCTAAAAAAATACAAATAAAAATTAAGCTCTTACTTCATGTGGAAAATGATTTAGCRCTAAATGAGTTGTCTGCTTTCTTGTTCCTTTTTGAAAGCATGTTAAGAATTTTATCTGGTTAACTTGACATCACCCTGCGTGTGAACATGGTCACTTTTTGGGAAGTTGAAAAAACCCCTACAAGTTTATAGTTAAGGAAGTTTCTGATCATGTTGCTGTGGTGGACATGTGCTTTTTCATCTTAGACTCTTGGATCTTCAATTATCTCTTTATTCTCATACTTCACTCTGACTTTTCTCATTAGTTTATTTGTTGTCAAAAAAAAAAAAGTTTCTTCCTTTCTAGTTTCTTCAATTTAGACCAATTTGGAAATGGAAAAGTGTGTTAATTTTTTAATAAATCTTTAAGACACACATTACTGTATTTTTATTAACTGAGCCAGATGGCTCACAGTGAATTTTCTCTGACATAAGTAATCACAGAAATCAGTTCAGGACCCAAATCTGGTAGAGAAAGTGGCATGTATATTCAGTGGAAAAGTGCACTTTGCATAAACATATGGATATTTTTAGACGTACTATTTGTTACTGTTTGGATTTCATTTCATTTTATTGTTTTAGGCTAAGTACAAACTAAGGACTCCCCAACCCCATTCCCCAGACTCAAGCATCAAGGTTCTCAACAACCAAAACTTTTTTTTTTTCTTTTTGCAGTTTGAAGGTTGCAAGAAGGCCTTTTCTAGGCTTGAAAATCTCAAGATTCACTTGCGGAGCCACACCGGCGAGAAACCATATCTATGCCAGCATCCGGGCTGTCAGAAGGCATTCAGCAACTCCAGTGACCGTGCCAAGCACCAGAGAACGCATCTGGACACTGTAAGAATGACAGGCACTTTTCCATCTTACAGCCTGGGTGTGAGGAAGTACCATTTTGATAGTGGGAAGGTGGAAGTGTTTGCTTTGTGGACTGCAGGTTATAGGAACATGCCAAGGGCAGCAGTGGAACCCAGAAGGGTGCCCAAAGGAGACCTGTGTGRCTGTTTCAGTTTTGGTAGTTGCAGGTTATCCTAATTGTTACAACTTCCTAGGAGGTGTACAAAACAGAAGCAGTTGATGGGCTTTCCTGCAGAAGATTTTAGCCCAGAGGATGACCACTATGGATGGGGCATTAAAATAAGTATTCAAATATCACGGCATACCACAATAGACAACACATACTATTGCTAAAGATACAAGGTGTAGTTTTTGTTTGTTTGTTGACCTGGGTTCTTTTTCCTCCTGATGTAAGAACTGGCRTGGTTTGAGAATGAATCTGGCCTTTTGCTTTAGAAACTCCCTGGTATTTTCACCTTCAAGCAATCTAAAAAGAAACAGCGAATCTCTCCCGTGGGTTGAGTCTCATCATGCCTCCTCCGTGTTAATAGCCATATATCCTTTGACACCAACCCCATGAGAGCAGTTGACTTTTATTATTACAGCCTTAACTCCCTTAATGCTGCCACATTTTGCTCATTGGAAAATGCCTTCCCTCTGTAACTCTTGTCTTTTATTTTTCCAATTATGTTGATAGCTCTCCTTTTGCATTTCTCWGGCTTTGATGCCACTTTCCTTACATGAGACCAGGTAGACCTATGTAATTTTGCTTCACTTAACAAAGCCATCAGGATAAATGTATTATACACATCACAGATCTCTTATCCCTCATTCTTACAAATAATGTATTCATGACAGTACTTTCTCAGTGTTAACATTCTGATGTCTATTATTAAACTACACCAGAGTTTGAATTTTGAAAAGATACTGTTATTTCTACACACCTTCTCATACATATTTAAGATTCTTCTGATGTTATAGTTGACATATTTATTAAATTTTATATTAGTCTCTATTAGTCATATTGATAGAAGTCATTTTAGCTATATGTCACATAACCTTTATAAATAGAATTCCCTCTTAATATATGTAAATATGATAATTTGCCTAGTAAATATCTGAAATACAGTTGAAACAATTAGTATGTGATGGGCCCTCTCTGCTTTAGTGGAATTGAATTTTGATTTTAGGGCCAATAGAATAGGATATAAAATGAATAAATGTGGTGAAGAGTGGGATTTTTTAATGTAGAAAAGGAAAAAAGAATAAATTATGTTAAAATGCCCTATTTTGTTGTGTCTAAAATGGTCTTYGTCAAATCCAATAAATTTTCCAATTTGTCATTAAACTTTATCATGGAAGAATGAACATTCATGAGACAAGATTGTCTTGAGAAATTGCTTCTACTCTRGCTAGTTATCTGTAGTTTGAAAGAACTATTGTGAGAATGAGTGTTATAGTTCTACAATACCCTTTTCTGCTTGGTGCTAATTTTAGCTAATCAAACAAAGAGCATTTTCAGAAATTATTTCAGAATTTAAAAATACGTATCTCTTTTAAAAACTTTTGAGGAAAGCTGCCTAACATAATAAATTTTCATGATTTTAGTTTTATGCAGTAGCTTTTCCAACTCAGCTGTTTTTACTTTTATGAAAAAAAATATTTTTTTATTAAATCTTTTTGAACTATCAGTTTTCCTTTTCATTTATCATTTTCATTTCATTTATTCATTTTTCATTTATCATTTTCCAAGCTAGCTCCTGTTTAAATTTTTAGTACATTTAACAAATTGGGAAGCCCTTTTAAAATATATAGAAATTAAACAACTTGYTTTAAAAAGCAAACTGTAGTTGCTTGAAGAATTTCCAATTTAAATTTAGATCCCTGTTCCCTTTCATTAATTACTCCTTATGCAAATGCTGTCTTTCTTCAACTAAGGGAACTCTTTACTCATAGGATAATGATTTTTCCCATAAATATTAGTGAGTTCTTAATCTAACCCTGAAAAGTTTTATTAATTCATTTCTCTGTTTCCTTGTTTGAAATCTAAGCAAGGTAAGTAATTATTCAGTACAGGTAGAAAATAATAAAATATATAGTTTGATAAAATGTAGCATACCATTTAAGGGTTAGGTAATTTGAGATCAAATAACCGTGACAGTATTATACTTAGGCAAGTCCCTGGCATAGCTGTTTTGTCACTCCAGTCCCAGGTGGCAGACAATAAGGAGAGAGTCAAGGACATCTGGGAGAAAGGGTGTGTATTCAGGCTTTCTCCAAGAACATCTCAAAATTAGATACAGAGCGAYATGATGAACCCAAATCATAGTGGCATTGGATTCTATAAAATGTTAATATTCATAAAGCCTTTTTACATGAAACATTCTGTCACACTCAAAGCATGAGCTTATTTGGTCATAAGATATTGGCTACTTGCTCCCTTAAAGCCAAGGAGGAGTAGGTAAGGTTAGTTCAAGAAAGCCATCTCAGAAGAGATTCCCAGGTTTAAGAAACCTTCGTTAATATAGTGGAAACTCATTGGTGAATGACTATAGCCAATAATTGGCTCACCATTTTGTAAAAATTGAGGTATTAAAAGCCTCGTTCATTGTTAGATTACCTAATATGTAATACAGTACTCAGCACATTCTACAAGCATGAGAGCTGATGGGTGATTCATTCATTCAGTCAGTCAGTCAGTTGGTCAATGATCAAACATATCAGATATCAGACTTAGAATTCAAATGGGATGCACCAAATTAAATTATATATTCATGATTTTACTTTGTTCTCAGAATCAAAAATGGTGAAAAAAAAGTATCGAAACCTAACTATTGCTTCCAGCAAGGCCAGTGATTTAATCTAGGTGACCGTTGGTCCACAAAATGAGAAGCATGCACAGGAAAAACAGGAGCACAACATGAACAGGGAAAAATTTATTTAATTTTTTGTCAGTGGTAAAGCAGACTTCTAGAGCAAGAATCCTACTTTAGAGACAAGGTTTCAGTTCTCCTTCTTATATTCACATCATGTAGGCACAGCTTTCATCTCTCACCTGATGAGATACTAAGTAGATCAGTGACAGTTAATACATCTTATAAACATAGTTAATCCTGTGATTATTTTTTTTCAGTTCTTGGAATAAGCAGAAGGTTTTGATTTATCTTGCAACCACAGAATCATAGTCTTAAAATCCTGGATAAGAATTTTGTCATCATACTAATAGTAGGTGGTGATACTGAAACTTGAAGGGATGTGAAGTGTTCTCATTGATTCATTCATTCACTCATTCATTCCTAAGTGTTATGTACCCAGCACCAAGGATAGAAAAATTAAACAGAACCTCGACTCGGGCTCCACACTGCACATCTCTCAGGAGCATGGGGAATTGAAATAGCCAAAATTCACATTCCCATCATGCTCAGCCAAAGGCTTTTTCACTTTATGCAGGCTCAGCACCAGGACTGCTCTGCAACTAATAATATTAATGCTCTTCTGACTGATTTTTCGTGTCTGTTGTTTGAAACCTACTGTCTCTTACTCACTTTACACTAATTTTCCTTCTTCATTCTCTCCCTCTTTCTGAATCAGGTTTCTTCTGAAACATACCCAGTCTTTTCTGGACTTTTCTACAGCTTCTTTACCTGAACCCTTAAAGAATATGTGTTTACTAGTTTCTGACAGTACCAAAGATTGTTCTCAGGGAAACATAACTGTAAGTATGACTGGAGATGCTTACTAATAATTTCCACACTAAAAAAATGCCACAAGAGGTTTTGTGGTTAGAGTGCAATCTAAAGCAATCTCTTAAAAGCCATCAAGGATAGGACATCTCTTTGTTCTAAAGTTTACTCTTTCCTTTACCATGATGCAAAAGTCCTGGGCTTTCTAATTAAAATGTATGARTATTACCCAGCATTCTGCATCAATCAGTTGGTAACAGTTCATGCTCTGAATAGTCTTTGAGCAAAACCTTCCTCAGTTACCTTTATGATTTAACCACAGCTGTTTCTTTCTTTCTTTCTTTCTTATTTAGAAACCTTATGCTTGTCAAATTCCAGGATGTACCAAACGCTACACAGACCCAAGTTCCCTAAGAAAGCATGTGAAGGCACATTCTTCCAAAGATCAACAAGCAAGGAAAAAGGTAATTTTAAAAGAAAAATTTCAAGCCAGAAAAAGCACATTTAAATGACTCTTGCAGAACTTAGAGCTTCCGCAGGGCATTGGAAATTTTTATACTTCTTAACATGCTTAAGGTGTAGCATATAACTCTTTTGAGGAGGGAAGTCTTCCATGAAGTAATAGCAAGGCTGTGGTTTACAAAGCTGATAAAGCCAGATAAGAATTTCTAGGGAAGGCTTGTTTAATAGGTATCCGAGAAAACTGGTGAAAGTCATCTAAACTATAAGTAACAAAAGGCTTTTGTGGAAACTAAGTTTAAATGACTAAAGAAAAATACAACAAAAATCCTTTCTGGAGGGACGGTTTTTTCCATWAATGATCATTTGGCTAAAATCATTGTAGCTCTAACAAAGAAGGTAGGTGAATTTCTAGGAAAGAAGAGAACATTCCTCATGTTAAGCTTAGAAAACTTCTTGATGACAATCTGAAAAAAAAATTGAAATTCAAGTCACTTTGATGTCACTGAAGGATCTGAAGGATCGATGCAATTTGCAAAGTTTATAAAAATCATAGTATCTCCAATGTGGAATAAATGTTAAAGATCAWGCAGCCAGTCCCTGACCTGCTCTTCTGACCTCATGCAGGGCCACACATTGTTGGCACTCTGGGATTCAACACCACTGGCGACAGGGAGCTGATTTTCTTTCAAGGCGTTTCCTAGTAACTGAGTTTTAAATGTTTTTGAACAAACTAGTATCCTCTGTCCACAGCAGAAAACATATTTAGCTACCTTGGCTTTTGAGTGTTTCATTTGTATCGAGATGGACACCTGATTCACTGAAGGGCCATTTATAGCAAAGTTAAGGACATTTTAAGACTCAACTTATTTCAAGTGATTGAACCCCATGGCAAGGGTTTTTAGGTACCATGGCTTCTAGTTAGAAATCTTGCATCCATTCTTTCATGGCTTATAGGAATTTAACATGTGGTGTTTGGAAATGTTCTATAGTCTTTTTGTGATGTGAATTTTTTCTGCCTTGAGAGGTGTTAGTACAATGCCAACCAAGGTCTCACACATGGAAAGAACTTGACCTCTTCCCTGTGAGTTAGAAAAATATTCAGCTAGGAGGATTTGACAGATATACTTAATTGCATAAAAACCCAATCTTGTAAATCAAATTCTAAATTAGTTATTTTTTCTCTAGAGATGTATTTAAAATTTCCTTACTTGTAATCTTAATAAATTGATATCTGTGATCACTTGGCGTGGATTGGATATGTTCTTGAATTTTAGAAAAACAACGAAACTGCTAACTACGTTAATAATGTAAATATAATTGGAAGGATGATGCTTAATCTTAAAATAACACACCATTGTTGAATATCATTAAGTACTTTCAGTAGGATCAGTGTCATTTTTATCATTATCCATGTACACTTTACACATTTGAAATAACAAATTACATTTTTTTTAAAAAAAAGCCCTCTTCGATGAGAGGGTTATTACTCTGAGCCTGACATTGTCTGTTTACAGATTGTCCCAAATTTGTGAGGCTTCACTTGTAATACCAAATTTATCAGTAAGATTGGAAAGCACCTGTGTAGAATGTAACATGATCATCATGGACAGAGCCAAGGACATTAGTTCCATATCTAAACAAATAAGCAAGATGATGTTCAATTTAACAAGGTAACATTAGGTGACAGGTATAGAATATAGCATGGGATATTTTCAGAAATGTTTTTTTAAATTCAAATATGATATGTTTTAGCTTCATTATAATGGAAAATTAGTCTTGACAATGTGAAAGATTCTTGAAACACTAATTGAAAAAAGAAAAACAGACCTTGAGACTACAAAATATAATTTTATTGATAATTTACTGACAATCTTCAACAGGGAATTTAGATGACTGGGGTATATTTTGAAGTAATATTATCATCTCATGTCAAAAATTATGGCTCTTCATTTTTTTATGTAAAGTGAGATGTTATCTTTCAAATGATTTAGCTTTTGAGGTTCACTGTTTTCCTACAAATGGTTGAAATGGCTTTGGTTGACTTCCATTGCCCAGACCTAAATGACAAGTTTACAGTGTTTATTTTCCAAATTTTAACATGCCTTTTTATTTAAAAATGTGTTTATGAATCTGTGATGGATTAGCTTGTGGAAATCAAAATGATGAAAGTTGCTCCATCCAACAAAAAGAGGAAACATCCTCCCAGGAGAAGCAGTTGCTAATAAACCAGAAATCAGTCAATCCACATTTCTGAATCTTGCACTGATATACTAGTGTGTTATATTTACATGGTACAATGTTGTTACTAGACCTTGGAGAGATTCTAATTGCTTACTCACATCAGGACTTGGTATTTGAAATATTTCCTGGCAGTAATCATAAAAAAAGGAAAGAAACAATAAACCTTTTAAGGCAGAATTAAGATTATTTACGACTTTAATTAAAAATTGAAAACTGGCATCATTTCAAAAAAGCCTTTACAAAAATGTGAATTCATCAAAAATAACCATAAAAATTCCAAGGTGATAAAGGCACAGTGGAGTAATGGTCCCAGCCCTAGGGAATTGTTTTGTTGAAAAGAATAAAACTCTTTTCTGTCACACCCTGTTAGTCACGGACTTGTTTAATATACCCTGCCTGCCTGCCTGCCTCTAATCCTCTTTTTAACCTCCCCTAGACACTAAATGACATTATTTTGGTCTTAACGTTGCCGGCTTTATGTGGCCCTACTCTGAAATCAGGGCCAGCAACAAAGCATCCATAGCCATAAGATTAATATATATCAGGAGAGCCCGAGAACTCATAAGTGATATTCTAGCCATGGGCATGTGGCCCTTTCCCACACCTGACAGATCCTATTGAAAACCAAGAAGAACCTGAAAGCTCAGCTAAACATTATTCAAGCTGTAAAAAGAAAGATGATGATGGAAAAAAGAAACTCTTCTCCTGCAAAAGAATTGGGATAATTTGGCTCATTGCATGCAGAGAGTAACTTTTCTCTTTGCATAAATCATGCACACCCACACATTCCATCAGCCAGTGTACAGACTTCTTCCACTGAATGCACTTTGCAGTTTTCAAGTCCCTTGAAACAGACCTACACAGATAAATGGGTAGCGAAAGACTTAAGTCACCAGCAGTGGTCTCCACTGAGAATAAAATTTAGCCTATAGAGAGAGCAAAGACAGAACCTGTCCTCCAATTCTGTCTGATAATGAGTGAGTGAAATAAGAGAAAACTAAGGCAATAAGCCACTTGAAATTTTCCTCAAGGCTGTGAGCTTTATCAGAATTTTTCATTTTCACCTTGGAAGTGTCGTAAGAGGGGTTTCCTTTAAATCTAGCCCGTTATCAAAATGGACTTTTAAAAAAGTGAATGCAAGGAATGCCTAGCCAAAAGTTAGAGGCAAWAGGAATCTTTCATCCATTCTATACTTCCACAAAGATCCCAATTTGTGAYTTGTTCAATATTTGTTACACATTCACCTTTGGTTTGCCATGGTGGATGACTTTCATCTTTATGACCTCAATGCAGGCTATTATAAACCAACCTTGGCATTTGAAATGTGTGTGAATGCAGCATGTATTTATATTTCTGACTTAGAGGACAGCTCTATATAGCATTTTGGCTAAGGTGGAGCCACTTATTTAATGCAACTTTCTTCGTTTAGAACTGGCAATTCTTTGGAATCTGTTCAGAGACAACACCTCTCTCTATATATTTAAAACTATAAACAATGTCATGAAGTACCACATAGGTTCACCTTGCTTTATGAAAAGTTATGTGAAAAAATATTTGTCCCTGAATCAAAGCATGTATTAAAAGGACTAATGAGGTTCACTTTTTCTACCAGTTGTTTTCTGTCATGGTCTATAGACCATGCATGCAGGCGGCATGCACAAGTGAGGTATGCAATCAGGTGTCTTAATGGATTTTGCAATGCCTTTTCACTTTTCTTTCTTGTTTCTGCTCAGAAATAAATTATACCACTCCCACTAGTAGCAGAACATTAGTAATAGGCACATATCACAGACATATCATYTCAGGAAGAACTAGCCCACCCCTTCCTCTCACATTTACAAAATTATATGGAGTGCAAGTAAGTGAGAAGCAGGCTATTGTAGTGAAGATGTTCAAGCAGCACAATGTTCTTTAAAAAAAAATGAGTCACAAAGTTCTGTACTTTTAACAATTCACTGGTGACAAATTACTTACATCACACTTCAAAATGATGGTGACACATACCTAAATATCCTGATGCCTGAGTTAAGAGGAACTTATTTCAAGTAAGGCACATGAAGATGCTTTAGTTAAACAAATATTTTTCAGTAAAAATAGTGGTGCTAATAAATAATTAAATTTAAATGAAAGAAGTAATCTCAACTTTAACCCTAGGTCAGTAATACTGATTTGAACTTGATACCAGTTACCTGGAAGTTTGCATTTTAAGAAAGCCCAATAGAAGTCCAGCTTTGCTTTTGAGAGCATTTTGAAGCTACAAGGTGATGGGAATTATTTTAAAAGAGTTGAGACTCCACATTTGAAAAAATTGGAGAAGATTGTCAATGAGAATGACCAGTGAATTAGAATAAGCTTCAAGTCCTTTCTTGAGTTATCAGAAAAACTCTTTCCACCCTTGTAAATACAGCAAAACACCCACCATCTCTGGAGAGATGACCCAAGGTCTTATTTAGGGTGAAATTTGTCTCCTAAGGTATGTCCTTTGGAACACATTTCATAAGATGTTATCTGATATTTCCTTTTGGGGAGAGGGGTACCTGGGATTGCACTCAGGGACATCACTCGACCACTGAGCCACATCTATTTTGTATTTTTTATTTAGAAACAGGACTCACTGAGTTGCTTAGTGCCTTGTTTTTTTCTGAGGCTGGCTTTGAACTTGAGATCCTCCTGCCTCAGCCTCCTGAGCCACTGGGATTACAGGATTGTGCCACTGTGCCAAGCTAGACATTTCTTTTTAAAAGTCATTTATTTCATATAA